CTGTGCGGGGCGCACTTCCCGTCCGCGGATATCAGGGAGAAGCACCGGCTGTGGCACGCCGTCCGCGAGGAGCTGCTCCTGCCAGCTCTGGCAGGAGCGCCTCCCGAAACGCCGGGCCCGGGCGGGGCGGCCGACGGGAGTGCCCAGCAGATTTTCTCGTGCAAGCACTGCCCGTCCACCTTCTTTAGCTCCCCGGGGCTTACACGGCACATCAATAAGTGCCACCCCTCGGAAAGTCGGCAAGTGTTGCTGCTGCAGATGCCACTGCGACCCGGCTGCTGAGAGGCCCGAGACCAGGAAGATTTCGAGGCTGGCCTCGGAGGAAGCAGATCCTGGGAATGTCTGTGGGACTTTCTTCGACTTGCAAGTTTCCTAACCTGCTGTGTTTCCTCTCCTAGTAGTCAGTGTTCCGCCCCAGGAGCGGACTGTGAAATGTAAAACCCCTTTCTAGAGCAGGTATGTATACGGTATAAACTCTGGAGAGTTCAAAGACTGTCAGCTTTAAATCCTTCTCACTTGCCCCGCTAAAATAGGATTTCTCCTTCCCCCCCAAAACTCTGGAGACCCTAACGAATCCTATATGATTTGTAATTCCTATGGAAAGTCGCAGTGAATGCGTGCATGTCTCAACGTCTACAAAGAGTTCTGGCTATCCAAAGTGGTAGTCACCAATGTTTTTTTCTCTTGTCATCACAGGCGCCTATGTAGTTTCTGTCTCAATAGGGTCAGATACCTTGCATTGTATATTCTGTGAATTAAGTTATGTGATTGGTGCCAAACTTTAGGGGGAAAGAAGATTCAAGACCTATGTCTGTGGGCAGGAAATGCAAAAGGATGTTTGCTGCTTTGGAGGGGGGGGAGGCGGGGAGAATGGGAATCTCCCCTGTAACCTTTTCTTTTCCCAATTATATGTACTAGTCCATTTTTAAGTTAGTGTTTGGAGGTGGGGAGGGTGCTACTTTATGTACTAGTCCATTTTTAAGTTAGTGTTTGGAGGTGGGGAGGGTGCTACTTGGGGAGTGGAGCCACATCCCCAAGCCCCCCACCTTGAACTATTTTGTGTGCAGTGTTCAGGAAATCCACTTTAAACCTTTCTTTTAAATAGTTCTTTGAAAATATAGAACTTGTTTTCTGAAGTTTGACTGTTTTAATAAGGTTTTAACCAAATTGTTTAATGCTTCTGCTGTAAATCTCTGTGTATTCATTATCAAACTATGTTGTGCATAAAGATGTTAATACTTATAATCCACTAAGGAACTGAATGGCGATTTGTCCAGTATTTTCGGCAACTTGTTTTTAATTTTGTTTTGTAAACCATTTCAGTGTACATTCTGTACCCATGCCCTAACAGCCAGAGTTTGGGACACTGGCTGAGCATTGCTTGACAGAGAGCCCATATTTGTAAGATGCTTACCACCAAATAAATGTACATAGACTGTGCTTTGTTGTGTTTGTCTTAAGAAAACTGCTGAACATAGCCTATTTTCAAAGCCACACTTCTTATTTCTCCAATGTCAGTATCCTATTTTAGAATGTTAGCAACCCATTTAGACAGAATACAAAGACAGGAGATACTATATTTTGCAAATGAATGTAATGGTGCAGAAATGCAATGGAAAATTTTCCTTTGAAGTATGGCTGCACAGACTGAGCTCCAAAAGGTAAGGAATATGTACTAGTCTTTAAATAAATAATAATAATAAAAAAAGACACTGCCCTCCCAATGAATGTCAACAGAAAACATTTAAAATATTTTCTTTAAAAAAAAGCTAGTGAACAGTGTTACTTGAAGATGAAAAATTTATGTTGATGGTGCTAATTAATTTCACTATTTCAGGTTGTTATTTTCACTCCATTTTGTTACATACCATCAATCCATTAGATTTTTTTTTAAAGGAAGCATTTCAGAAACATGCAAGCAGTTACTTTGATTTTTCTTTTTGTAATCCTTCACATCGGCTGTGGAATACTCTATTGTTTAATCTTGTTCTCAGGGATGCTAGCCATTTGTTTATCCTCTACATCAGCTTTCATAGGAATTTTTTTCTGTTTATAAGAAAAAAGAAGTGTACAAAAGTTCTGAAAGATTGTTTAGAAAAACTTGTCAGTAGGAAGTTTTATTCTTGAAAGTATATTATAAAAGTGAAATTTAAGAAATCAAAGAAATGTGAAGCTGAGATAAACTGACACTTTAACCAAGTGCACTGGGTGAAGTTTCTGGCCAGACTTTGTGAAGGTGTAAAATTTCTTGTGTTTTTAACGACTGTGGTAGGATCTCCGAGAAATAAGTTGGAGTGTATCCTAAAAAGAGAATCTAAATTCAGTTTTCATGTTTAGCTGAGATTACCTAGGTTCATGCTTTACATCCCCCCATTAATTATATGGCTCTGTTTATTGAGTCTAAAAACATGACATATAGACGACAAATCAATACTCATGGACAGGAAGTGGTAAGAATATTTTTATTGTATTATTAAATACCATGTCATCTTTTCCCCAGCTGTTACAAATTATAGATATAACATGAATGATGATACATAATTTATATTTTATGGTTTGCCAGTATGATGTATTTACACATGCAGTTAGTACCAACATCATGCTACATTTCCTTAGGAGATGCCCATTCAGAACAAAATGTGAGCAGCTTATCTACTGTAGGAAAATACTTCTGGAGGGTGGAATGTATATCAACCTGCGCCTGCAAGTTCAGTATTAGCAATATTAGATTTAACTTAGACTCCTGGGTTATGTTCCCTTTTCTTTTTTAATAATATACATAATTTGAGCAAAATATTTATATCAGAAAAGTTTTTTTCTTCTTTTCTCCTTTTTGGTACTTAAAAAAGAACATAGATGCACCAGGATCTAACAACCGATAATAAAGGGCCATAATCTGAAAACAGAAATGGCATTTAACAGTGATACCACTTAAAAAGTAAAACATTAGAAAAATATTTGGAAGCTAAACATAAATCAGAGTTCAGCACAGTGATTTTTCTAGTTATTGGATATGCCATGGCATCACTTGCACAGCCAAGAAATGAGACCTTGCTTTGGGAAGGAAAAGTTAATACTAAACTTATTTCAGTTGGAATTTGAGATACTAGAAGGCCATTTATTTTGAGTGTTTTATTTTCACAACAAATAATCTGTACAAATTTTGTGTATTAACAGATATTTTCCTGTAACTTTACAAATGCTTAAATTGAAAATTTTACATTTGTAAAAAATCATATATTTATTGAACCATAAAGCTGCAATGGGGCACAATAAATAATGAGACTATTTGTTCAATTATATTTTGGCTCAAAGTTAATCATGAAGTTAAAAGTAAAACTATTTAGACATAATTAGCTAGGAAGGTAAAGGATGTAGAATAAAACTCCCCCCCCCAATATGGCAGCTTAGAGTGAGGGAATAAAACCAAATTGAATAAATAACCCAAATCTAAAATATTAAGCTACAAATTATTTAAATCCAGTGTCCTCTCAAATAAATGTACAGGAAGAAACATGCATATTATGGCAGACATGAAGGCCTTGAAAGGGTTAACCCTATGCTCGTGCTAAAGTGGCTATTGCGGATCACTGATGGGCTGCTTGTCTCCTTAGGATTTATTGGCTGAGCCAGAGGAACGACGCAGCTTCATGGACATGCGGCTTTTGCTAGTCCGAGGAGACATTGGAGAGGCCAGGTCAGCCCCATCTACCTGCGTTGCTGTGGGAGTTTCACTGGGTAGAATCTCTGGGTAGGAGCCTGTGGGAAACAGCAAGAGCATTACTATAGTCATCCAGCCTCTCAATCCCTAAGAAATAAACTGTCTGCTACTAATCTGTAGCAAGGATTCCCATCCCTTAATGAGGTCTTTTGAGGCAAAAAAGCAAGCCCAAAACTTCCTTTTTGCAACAGGCTACGAATGTATTTAAAACCCAGTAATCAGGTGACCCATGATATCATATTAGCAAGAAAGCACCAATTACCAGCCCCAGAGCTAAAACTCTGGTAAAAAGCAGTGGGAAGCAAAATCTTTGGGCCAGAAAGAACAGGGATCCAAAGCACCATTAGCATGCAGGGAAGGGCTCACAAAGCAGGTGAGAAGGACCAGTTCCTATCTCTAGGATTCGGGGTATAACCAAGAAAAGGGCATTCACTGCTTAAACTTGAAAAACAGTACCAAACAATTTCAAAGAGTTTTGGAACCAAGGGTTTCAAAACGGAACTCAGCACTATGAAACCATTATACAAGCTAGGTACTTAACTATGATTTTAGGAAAGGACAAGATATTCCTGGGGATGGGAAGAGGATAAGAATTCCCATCTGAAACTCAGTCAAAAAAGGCAAACGGACCCCCCTAAATGTCTTAATTTAGAAGAGATAAACAGCACTTTTGTTTTCCTTGAATTAAACTTTTGCAGTTGCTATTCAGTTACAGCAAGTAAGTTACCAGTAGAATGAATAGATATACAATTTTAAAAGAAGCAAAATAGGAAAAATTTTTGCATCATTTATACTTATCACCTTTGTAACTATTTGTATGAATTATGACTCTCTAATATATAGCAATACTACAGAGACTTGCACATTGCAGGCTCTCAAATATTTTTTAAACAAAATGAATAAGCCATCACATTAAAAATAAAAGCCCTTAAAAAAAATGCCTGAAAACAGAATGGTCAAAAAAAAATTTCTGTATATTTTTAAAGCACTTTAATCCAGATTTTCTGGGTCTTAAGTACACAAAAATTTTCTGTGTGTGTGTCACAAACAAAAACACCAAACAGGTAGCAGGCTTAACCTTACAAATCTCCTTACTTTACAGGAGACTTTTGATATATTTGTTAGGCAGTGTAGCACCTCACTAACATTTTAAACTTGGAAATAGATAAGCACTTCTATATAATGAAGCATTTGTGCTTAAATTGAAGTTTTACATATTTATATTAAAAAGTCCAGTAAGTCCAACAGACCATATTGAGATACCTTAAACAACTAAGAATGTGTCTTTCTATAATACTTCAGAGTGTTTTTAAGGCCAAATGTTACACTTAAGAACAAATATACACTGCCAAGGAAAAATATTTTGTCACTCATAATCTAGGTCAATTGCCCTCCTTCTCAAAGTAGCTTCTCCAACATTCTTTTTTAATTGAATTGAGACTGGCCTTTGAAATACAAGGAGATGAAAATATGTTTCTGTTCACCTTAACTCTTTCTGAAGATCTGAATTGGTTCATAGTGGACCCACACTAGAAAATCTAGAGGAGAATATGAATCCATGGCCCCTTTCAGAGAAGCACTGCAGACAAATGGCAGAAGAAAGGTGAAGAACACTAGCTCATGCTTTCCTGGTAATGCATATTTTCCCGGCCATCAGGAGAGTCCTTCCCATGGCTGTTTACCTTGAGATGGCCCATGTTTTCTAGCGGAAGTTTTGGGAGGAACAGAACTATCACTGCATTTCTTTCTTTGTTGTGAATGAAGAAATGGAGTAGCGAGCAGAAGTGAGAAAACAAGACAAGATAGATATGAGAGGCACGATGCAGAATTGTATACGTGTTAACTGAGGAGCAGAGAGTAATCAAGTTTTTATTATGAAATATAATTTGGCATGCAATGAGTTATTAGGGTGATGTTTCACAATGAACAATGCTTTGTAGATTCAAATGTTATACTTACCAACTAACAAAACAAGTTCAAATAGAAAAAAAGAAAAGAAGAAAAAATTTCTATGAGATTCTACTAACATCTTCCTTTTGCAGTGTTTACTGTACTAGGAGCATATCATTCTACCTACTCAGTCATAAAATCTCTCGGACTGTACTGACCAATACTGTAGCCACAGACACATTAAATTAAAATTGAATAAAAATTCAGTTCCTCAGTACACTAGCCACATTTCAAGTGTTCAACAGCCACATGTGGTTAGTGGCTATCGTATTGGACAGTGCAGATACAGAACATTTCTATCATCAGAGATGGCTTTACTGGAGAACACTGCTCTAGAGTATGCCAAGCTCAAAGAATACAAAAACAATTCCTCCATGTCTTCCTTAATGCCATCAAAGAGAAATCCCCCTGTAGACAACTGAGAGTTAAATTAAGCTTTTTAGAATATGTGGTTTATAGTTATCAGTACCTCCTTACATTTCAGAAAATTATATTTGTGGTACACACATAATATACCCAAACTCTATAAATAATTTACAGTTGATAGGCCTCAATTTTGGATGAATACAGTGGATACCTACATTTCATTTCACATCCTATTCTATTGATTTATACTACCTAAATAATAAAGAATACTGACTTATTTATTTCTATTATTAGCACAGCCTCAAGGAATAAGATTTTAAAAAGTATCTACGGGATTGTATGTTTGTGCATACTATATCTGTTACTAACACAATGGTCACACAAACTGTGTCTGTATCTTGATGGTATACTAAATTGATTCATATATTGCAAATTGATTGCAATAAATTATTATTACAAATAACATGATGAATATGGCTTTGGTGATCTACAAGAATTATAAAAAGGAGCTCAAAGCATTGTAATTTATTATAATTTTGATTATACTATTTGGTGACAGACATGACTACTTTAAAACTGCTAGTTATTGGGTACTATGGCCTTATAAAATAATTGTAACTTAGAGAGGAATTTTAATTAATAATGATGTAAGAGACAATGTGATGTGTTAGAGCAATGAGCATGAATTAGACAGTTCTAGACTAAATGCCAAGTCTGTCACTTTAGCAGTTTGATCTTGGGCAAATGGATCTGAGGCATTTTCTTATTTGTAAAGTGGAGGCAATGGAGGCAATATTAGTTATTTTGCAAAGTTGTGGAGGTTAATGATTACATATGCAAAGATCCTGGTACAAAATAGATGTATAGTAAGTGTAGCTATATAATAAAGCTATTAAACAGAGAAGAGTAAAAGCTAATAAATTTTGAATCAGAACAGATGAGGATTAGAAAGGAAGGGAATACAAGTTAGAAATATAACCACTCACAAAATATAATTTTTCAAATGTGGGGAGCACAACATAACAGTTTAGTCTGGGGGGAAATAGTAATTAATCCTCTTTTATTTTGATAGTCCTATAAAATATAGCTTTATCTTAAAGGTTATAGGCTATCCAAATAAACTTACTGCTTAATATTGTTAAAGGAGTTAAGTGACTAAGATTAGCATGGATATAGTGCTAAATGCCAAAAAGGAAATAACACAATTTAAAATAGTATAGAAATAAAGGCAAACAAGTGGTTTTATTTTAAGATATTCAAGAACTACCAGTATTGCAATTTTAGAACAAATAAGGCCAAGCTTGTCCTATTTCACTTCCTTCTTACAAATGAAGAAACTGGGTGTATGACAAATTAATCTGAGTTCATATGGATAATAAATGGCAGAACTGAAATTTAAATCCAGATAGTCTGATTCCAAAGCCCATACTCCTTCCCTGGCAACCTAAAAGGCATATATATATGATTTTTCAATGGGTGAGAAAGCTGAATCCTCAAAATAAAAATCTTTAACAATTTCTGATTTGTAAATGTGACAGGTTATTGGGCAAGACCTTCCTCTTTCCCTTCTTTATCAACAGCAAGAGGGGGACCAAAATTTAGACTAAATGGGTAATTCTAATAGCTAAAATCAGGCACTTGGAAGTCAGACAGGTCTATGTTAGAATATGGCTTTACCAAGTATAGGTGGGTAAACATTTTTTCTTTTAAATTTCATAGACTATCATGAAGATTAAATGAGATAATGTGTATAGAGCAACTAGCACAGTGCTAGGCATGCAGTAATTGCTCACTGTTATTTCATTATTTTCACTGCAACAATTTCACATCTGAAAGAATGTTCTATGTGAAAACTGAACCTAGTAGTTATTGTCATAAAAGGTTAATAGGCATTATTTAAGATTATTTGCCTCTTGGCCAACAACATGTAAGCCAAATTTTCAAGTTCAAAGTACTGAACAGAACATATTTGGCTGCCTGTAATTTTAGGTGAATCTAGTGATAAATATAAGTAGGAATCTATTTCCAAAAACATTAAATAAATAGATTTATAGCTTACGTTATATATTGCAAGAAACAAATTTTCCTATTGGCACTTATAAATAACATTGTAGCTAAAATTTTTTTTCCAGATCATTTTAAAGACTGGGATGTTTAAAATAACTCTTAAAGAAGGACTCAGCTAAAAAAGGTTACCTAAAGCAATGGTTAAATGTCAATGATCCATCCCATTCAAAGATTCAAAGAGGCAGATCTGACCAGCATAAGTCCTATCCCATCTACATATGGGAATATACATTTAATGAATTAATAGGAAAACTGAGAAGGTAGATCAGATGTTATTCTAGGTATTCATAATTACTCTATATTATCTCTGAATTTGATGGTATAAAAATTATATTTAAATCTTATTTTTATAATATTCCTTTAAATAGGAACTAAAAGTCATTGAAAACTTTTTTTTAAGAAGAGATGAGGTCTCGCTAAGTTGGCCAGGCTGGTCTCAAACCCGTGGGCTCAGGTAATCCTTTCACCTCAGTCTCCCAAAGTGCTGGGATTATGACTGCGCCAGGTCTCATTGAAAACTTTTGACATATTTCAGACACATGCTTGACAAAGATAAAGGAATTTTTTTTCCTGGTAATTAAAAAAAAAAAAAGGACAAGAAACTCTAGTAATATTTTAATGTAGTTATGGGAGCTCAACAAAGCGTGACATCATGATATTTCCCTCAATGTTTTCCCTATACGTTTTCTACAAGTAATTATAAAAAGTGGTATGTATGTATAGATGTGTGTGTGTGTGTGTGTGTGTGTATAGTGAGAATCAAATCCTTTATCAACCTTTTAATTATTAAAGAACTAAAATCTCTAACTTAATTTGTAAGAAAACAACTTAAAGGAAGGTATCTACTAGCTCAATTAGAATAATAGAGTATTAGAGGTAATTCAAGAAATACCACAACAGGGATTAAAAAATATTTCTGTATGATGATAGTAAAAATATATACTACTGGAAAAACTTAGAAGTGTATTTTTAATGTTGAAATTGAGAAAGACAAGTTGATTAATACTTGCTGTACACTTTTAGCAAAACAGAATTCTTTTTCTTCTGCAATTTCTTTTATTACTAAATAAAAAATATGATGTTGAAAAGACAATGTAACAGGGAAAAATATGTACATTTTGAATGACCACTGTAATCTGGTCAAGGAGAGGAGTAATTTCATTTTAAAACTTACAGTAAGGCTGCGGTGGCCAGGAGCAGCCACTACACTCCAGTCTGGGCAACAGAGTGAGACTCCAACTCAAAAAAAAAAAAAACAAAAACAAAAACTTATAGTAAGAAAAAAGGTATTTGTAAATATCAAAAAAAAAAAAAAAAAAGTTAAGAAAGTAAGTCACTACAAACTTTTGATATTTTCCACACATGTGCCTGACAAAGATAAAGGGATTTTTTTCCTGTAATTTTTTTTTAAATAAAGGACAAGAAAAATCTAATAATATTTTAATGTAGTTATGGAAGATCAACAAAGTGTGACATCACGATATTTCCCTCAATGACCTTAGGGATAAAAATGATTTCCCTTAAGTATCAGTCTACTGCCACAGACAGTACATTTTGAAAAAGTACAGTTATGAAATTTGTGGATCAACTATGATATGCCAAAATCTTTCATATCTGTTTAAATAAGACTGAAGGCTGCATAGAAAAAACTTTTTTGTATTTAAATGTCATTATAGTGGGTACATTACTGTTAACCAGGAAGTGTGTTTTAGATAATCTTGAACCAAACTAAGTAACTTTAAAAAAATTAGTATTTTTTGATACTATTTCACGGAATAGAATTATATTATAGAGTTGGTTAGAAAGAATATAATCACTATACTGGGCTTTCTTTAAAACTTAATTTCAAATTACTATATTGGTATTAATTATATTATTTTATATACATACGCAAAGGATGTATAAAGTTGATTCTCAATTGTGATTTTATGAATTCATTTCCTCACTGTGGTGAACAAATTTTACCACAATGTTAAAAAGATAAAAATGAACATAAAAAAATTTCACACTATTACATCATTTTTGCAAACCAGATGTCAGGGTCAAACTGCTATTACGTGGCTTATTTTATGTTTTCTCTGTCCTACTTTCCACTTTGACATATAATTTTAAGTGGAGATCTATATGTACGTGGTGGTTTATGACAGAAAAATTAAGATTCAGAATAATTGAAAAAAATTATTTTTCAGATTCCACAATGTTTTTGTATTGTAGGAGTAAATGTTTCATTTTTATTTTATTGTGTTTAACTGAGAACTACTCTGATAAAAGTTCCTGTCATAACTATCAAAGTCTGCAAAAAAATTTATATAGATATATATTCAGTAATACTGACACAAGTTATTTACAGATAAAAACACCCTTTTGAAAAGCAGGGTGCACATCTCTGATGGTTCCTAAAGGCAAAGACAATTTAAAAATTAACTGAGAAAATGTGTAGCACAATATTAGATATATGTTCAAATTCACATTTTTTTTACTTGATTATCACAAGTGTATTTGAAACATCTTGTAGAATAATTTAGTAAGATACATTAAAAATAAGCCAACAGAGCCTTCCTTGACTTGGCTGCTGTAGCATCCTTTACCTAAGGTCTCAGAAAGTGAGAATACTAATTACTTCCATATTATATACATGGTTAAATGTGCAGGATAAGTTGCAAAATATGAGAAGAATATTAAGATGACAAATATGAAGAACTCCTGCTGGTAAACAAATACAACACAAAGCCTTTACAAATTTAGGGGGAAAAGTTAGTTCAAATGTGGTTCTATTACTGGTATTTTTCAGTTGTGAAATTTATGGCTTGTCTATGATACACAAAAGTGTTATCTGTCTGATATCCTATCAGATATTATCTATTATTAAGCAATGATACTGCCAGGTATACTTAGTTTTTATTTTGCTGTTCATTAGTTTACTTTTAATGTCTTTCTTAAAACCAAACTGAGTAATTTTAGTGTTAGTCCATTAAGGCAAATCTTAGACTTTTCATCTCTTTCAAAAGATTCAACTTAGTCTAATATGATTTTCTCTTTGCTAGGTCTTTTATATTCATTGAAAGGGATCTAAGTTTCTTGGTAAAATTATTTTTCTAATGGCAATTTAATGATGACAGGAATGGAAGTTTTAATTTCATTAGCTAAACCTCAGTTGAGAATTAAAGTAATTTTTTTCAAACAAATTAGGCTAGAAAAGGAGGGCTGTGCCTTTTAAACTTATTTAATATAAGAATTTGAAGGTTTATTATGATAAACTTCCAGTTTATTATGTTCTCTTTTCCTGCTTCCCTTGAACATTATTACAAAAGTCATCTTTGTATTTCAGGTGCCTAGTACAGTGCAAGGCACATAAGAGAATAACTATTTGATGAGTTAATATATCCAATAACAATGCAACACATCACAAAATACAAAGACACACTACTTCAGTTCAATATTACTACATTTTCATGCTGAGAAACAGAAAAAAAAAAAGGTCAATATAATAACAAGGTGTAACTAATTTCAACCAACAGGGTCTATTATTAGTTATTTTTTATCCCCAAACCATGTTAGTGTTTCATGCAGACCTGGGTTAGTCAGTATAATTCTGGAAAAAATTTAGTGAAAATTTCTAAAATGTTTAGTATGAACCAGGACAGTATTAAGTTTGCTTCTTACTTAAGTTACAAGCTTAGAGCTTGCTAATTTTGAAAAACAGGAAATGGGAGAAGAACAGAGGGTGTTTTGGTTGACACTTTGTCTTACCTTCAGATAAACAGAACTGATATTTAATGATCTAAAGAGGGAAAATAAAATAAATGAAACAATCATAAGGAGTGCAAGATATTACAGAATAGGAAGGCCACGAGTCATTTATTTTCTTACTGATTTCTTCAAAATTAGTTAATTATAAAAATGCAGTACCCTCTTATAATCTTTAATTATTACAACATAATTTATTATTAAGTACTTCTAAACCTAGACCAACGATTTCAGCTTTATTTGTAATATTAGAGATGATGAGCCAATATTCTTGGCCATAAAATTTTATCCTCTAAAGTTGAGAATGCATGCTCAACTTGTTTCTTTTGCAGATACTTCAGTAATGATCCCTTAAGAAGCCAAGAGTCACTGACCATTAGCTCAGATTAAATGTGGTGCATACACTTTTATGAAGATTGTTGCCTTTTTTAAGGAACTGCACTTAGGTAAAACAAAGTATAAATCAAATTTACAGGCCAAACTCAAATATTAAATAGTGATAGCAAATTTGTATTTCAATGAGTAGGATTTCCTTCAAGCAAGTTTTTAGAACAAAAGGGTATTGCATTTCAAGTTCCAACAACAAGAAGTAACTAATACTTGCTTTTTGATCTTACCGGCATCGGATGGTAAATGATGGTAGGGAGCTGGAGAAAAAACCTGTGCTGCAAAATCTTCAAATGTTGTTGGCTCTAAATGGTGCTGGACAATTGTTTGCAGGTATCGCGCTCTCTCCTCATAGCTGATTTCCTTGAGTTAAGGATAAACTTAAATGCAGCTTATACTGGAAAATTACAAATTTGATCAAAAAGGACTATGGTTGGTAAACCATTACTTCTTATCACATAGAATTATCCACTAATTATTCTTGCATATAATGAACAGTATGGCCTTTTAAAGTGCAAAAATATAGTTTTAAATGTAAGTTTATTCTTCATGGTTCCACTATAAATAACAGTTTAACAGGGAGATATTTATTAGATCATAATTATAATAATACTAACTGTTGAAATGAAGTTAACAGTTTACTTGAGAAAGGATTCAATTGCTATTAGGGCTGCCTAGGCTCATCTTATCTTGCTAATCAGCTTTCATCTGAAGATTTACTCTTAAAAGTCACATAATAAATATTATAACACTGCTTAAAATACTATGTCCAAAATACTATATTTTTCACTTGTAAAGATTTATTGTGAAAAATTCCTACATATCTTCTTCTTTTTCTAAAATCCCTGCATTTTCTCAACAATTGTTCTCATTTTGAATGGAAGACTACTGTTGCTGTAATCCTCGAATAACTCCATGCGGTTAAGATAAATACGTAGCTGAATCTGTATGTCAGGGAAAAAATACCGAGTCAATTATAACACTGAAACAAGCAGGAATATTTGCAAAGAGTCCACAGGACTCCTAAATACTGCCTAACAAAGCATCTACAGGGCACTGACACTGACAGAAAAATACTGTAGTTCCCTTTCACCACATTTTCTTCTCTGATATTATTGACAAGCAACCAGTACCTTGAAGTGTTGTTGCTTTTGAACAACCCACTCCAGGCTTCCTGTTTCAGCAGGCCTGATTGTGCTGTTAGCACAGAGAGGGCGAGAAAGAGAGAGAATATTTCTGTTGTTCACAAAAGCAACTATGGAAATGGCTGTCAAAATGTAGAGCAGCAGGCAGCAACATACAATTATCAGGAAAAACTCACATGCTGACTTCATGTCGTATAGTTCCTGAACTGAGAAATCAGTTAACCTTTCTTCTACAACTTTAAAAAGTCTTCCTGCTGTACTCAATGTGCTATGTTGACAGCCCTTACGTAAGACATTTAAATAAGGGTATAATACAATTTGCCTATAGGTTCTTCTTTTTTTCACTGATGTTTTTCCCTCAAAACCCACCTTAGTATTTCCCCCTCAAAATTCCTTTTTCTTTTTTTAAAAATTGCAATTCAATTATTACAGTTCTATAATTCTAGAAGTTGTGGACTAAGTCTACAACCAAGGTCAAAAAAATAATAATAATCATTTGAGAGAAAGTTAACTTTAAGTGATAATTCAATGGGCGATATATCATGGCCAGTTATATTTACCAAAGTTTATTAAGAAGAGAAAAAAGCATTCAGAGTTAAAGGTAAGACTATATTCATTATGTACTTGACTTTGTGGTATCTTTTGGCCTCTGAGTGGCGTGCATACTCTCTTCTTGTATTACAACTTACCTTATGTATCAAATACTGAAATAACCCGGCCTTCCAATTCCTGGCAATTTATTATTCCCAATTCTGTACACTAAGTTTGAACTTCAAAATAATTTTACTTCTGAAATAGGAAGCAACAGGACAATATGATATATTAAAATGATCAGCAGGAAGGATTTTACATGAAGATAATACAGACATTTTTTGACTCAACATAGGGAAGTAATATAGGACACTTTTAAAGAGGGTATATGGTTATAAATGAAGAGGATGAAACTGACGGTTCAATCTAAATAATACCACATATCTCACAACTTGTTGGAAAGTACTTTTTTCATTGGGGGAGATTCACAGCTGCCGAATTTTCTGCAGTTAATAGAGTCCTTTGATTCACAGCAGTGCCCCTTGTACAAAAAATACTGGCCTTTGTGTATTACCAGAAACTAATTTTCTATTTGGCTGAAAAGGGAAAAATGGGGTTATTGCTTCTCCCTCCTACAGAGCTTTTCATTATGCCTGATGCACTCAACTTCTAAGCTCTTCTGAGAAAAAAAATAACTGAAGAGGCAAGAGGTAGAAAAATGAGCTTGTTAGCACATTAGAAGTGAAGTATCTTGGTGGGCCCTAGAAATTCCCAGTGGTGTGTTAACTTATCACTCTATGCATGCTGGCACTGATAGTCTCCCAATTGATCACTCTCTTTTCGCACCAAAGGTGCTGCCAGGAAGCAAAGGCTGAAGGCCCACAGGAGAACAGTCTGCTATCAAAACAAGCTGTTTTTAAAAGTCTGCTTGAATGGGTAAAACGCTTCATGAAAAGTAGGGTGGAGACACCTACCTGCTTTTAAAAATGCTCTACTTTCAGAGGGCCTATAAATGAAATATTTTATTATATTTAGAGTTTATACAAAAATTAGGCAGAAAGAAAGCAACTGTTATTTCTAAAGCAGGGAGGATATTTTCAGTGGTAAATTCATCAAAGCAAGAACATGATTATCTAGATAAAATATATTTTGAAGGGTAATTCTACTTCACTGTACAAAAGGGGATTTATAAAACTCTGAAGAAACTCTAATACACAGCTGCACAAAACTAAAATTATCCAGATATATTCATTTTGTATAAAAACACATGCTATATTTAGTATAATTACAATAAACTTTCATTAGTGAAAACAATGCTTTTCAAAAAAGTTCAAGTCTAGGTGGCAGAGTGAAGGACAACAATCATTAAATGGTTGAATTTAAATGAAAAACTACAGCGTTCATCACTTATTAGGGCAGGCTAATGTCTAAGGTTTTCTTTTTGGGGAGGTTATCTTTAGAATAAAGATTGTTAGCTTAGTAAATATAGTCTAAGGTAATTCAACTTCTAAAAGCTAAATGCTCTTTATAATTTTGAAGTTGATGTAGCCAGATAAATAAATATAACATGAAAACAAACCAACCCAATCCTTTTTTCCTTTGAAAAACATGTATTAAGGAAATATAATTAACTCCAAGTACTTAAACCATAGTCCTGAGTTCACAACAAAGTGCTTTTTGTGACTGAGATGATAAAGTTCCAAACAGTGCTGTTAGCATCTGTACTGTATTCATAATCCAAAGCAGTTCATTCCTGCACCTCCTTATAATAAGTTAGACACGTGTTCCTTAAAAGGCAGCTCTCTAGGGAAGAGTTATTAGTATGTATACATTTGAGTGGCATACACAAACTCAATGGCTACCAACAACAGGACAATTCAAGTTATATTCCTACTGTGAGTTCATGCTGCCAGCAGCACTGAAATAAAAAAAAAAAATGAAATGAGTAGGATGATAAAAAGGTAAAGGCAAACCAACAAAAAAATCCAGAACTAAAATTTAAAGTACAAGTCTAAGTTGAATTAAGAAGGTTTCTGTTGTAAATTTAAAACTCAAGCCAACATTAAGTAATAAAAAAACATTTGATGAGGGAGATGTTTAGCTGGTAGAAATCTTTAATACAGAACTAGCCAATCAAAAAAAATAAATAACATGCAGGTGCTGCTGCAATCACAGCAATATAATTATCCACTAATCCTCCTTCCACTTTCTGCAATAGCAGAAAAAAGGGGAAGGAATATTACTATTCTAAAAATAATAAAGGGAACCAAACATTTTCTGTAACATAGTTTAAATCTCATCTGTATTTCATTATTATACATTTTAAGTAACTACTCTTAAGAGAGTAGTTACTTAACATTATTACACATTTTAAGTAACTGCTCTTAAAACTTTAAGACCAGCTATAAAAAAATTGAAGTTCAATTTCAGCCTGGTCCTAGAAAAATATGCATACATTTTCTGTATCATGTTATCTCTGTGTTAAATGGGAATACCATCACCTGCTCCTATTTACTACATAGGGTGTTGGTGACAAAGGATATAAATACAGGGTAACTCAAAACTGCCCCTAGATCTGTGCTGAAAATAGTTTATTTTGACCTTTGCTCATGTCTTTGTAAATAGCAGGTGCATGTCTCTAGGAGGACAGTTTTTGATATCATTAAGAAATACATCTATATTCATGTGCAAGAACTCTCTAATAATACTACTAACATTTCTTATTTGTGGTATGTACAGAGGGATTTTTGACTTATTCTGATGGAGGAAATTCTGATTTCTCATGGGGAAAAAGATACAATATAAGAAAAAAATACTGCAGAAGTTTAGGTAGTATCAAGTATTTCAACTTTATCAACATACAGGGAAAACAGATAAAAGGTAGATTTACTTTTAAAGAAGCAACACTCTTCATTCTCCACAATAATTTTATTAACTTGGTACTCTATACTACTTTTATTAGAAAAGGGAATGCTTTCAGTTTTGTGATTCCATGGCACACCCAGTAGGGTCAACTACATTTAACGCTAATGTAGTTTCTGACTAGTCTGAAATAAATGGCAATTTGTATGCTGGGGTGTGTGTGTGTATATACACACACACACACACATATATATGCATATATATGTTGTATACAGAATAAATATAAAGTATAATTTTCACAAAAAGGAATTATAAAATTACAATTGTAAGCAGATATCAAAGACTTATAGCATTGCTTGTTTTCTTCTTAAGTTCAGGTTTAATGTTTTATTTTCTAAACACGAAAAAACTATTGGCTACCAAAGGCAAGTAAGAAGTGTTTATATCTCTACTCAATGGCATAGTCTCAGGAAGTTCAGGCCCACTCTGAAACTCTTAATTTAGTGAGTACTTGACTACACACATATATTTCTATGGCATCTTGGTGGTTTTAGCACTTAGAAATTTCATCTCCCGTCTCTAGATAGGAGATTCCAAAAATAGTAATTATAGGAAGAGGGAGAGTTCCAAAGGTAAAAATTACTTAGAAATTTTGCCTGACTTAAAAAAAATTCTGGAGAGTACTACTTAAGTTGAGCAAACTAAAGCCAACAATTCAACATTCACAAAGTTTGTAAGGCTGATTAGTGGCCTGAAATTGGCTATGGTGAGAGTTTCCACATCATGAACCTCAATGATTGCCACAAATCAGCCCTTG